TGATGACTCCCAGTTTGTGTTGAAGTGGGTGGTGTGAGTCAAAAAGCAGGTATTGGTCTGTGTGTGTAGGTTTCCGTTATATTTCTACTTTCAGACTTCTGTCCCCTCCCAAGTGGACTGCACAATCCAGAAAGGCCAGGCAGTCATCCCTGGCATCCTCACGAGTGAAATTGATGTTGTCATCCACCGAGTTGATATGCTTGGTGAAAGCTTCTACCTCCTGGGTCCTGATTTTAACCCATGTGTCATCCACGTAGCGGAACCAATGGCTGGGAGCAATGCCAGCGAAGGAAGTCAGGGCTTTCTTCTCAAATTCTTCCATGTACAGGTTGGCAACTATAGGAGACACTGGGCAGCCCATAGCACAGCCGTGTTGTTGCCTATTAATTAATGGACATTGTTGGCCTTCTAAGGACTGAAACCACACCGAGGGGGATAAATATCTCCGACTCAACACCAGTCAGTCAGAACTGATGAAGCCTCTTGGATGAGAGGTGAAACGTCTTCAATCTAGAATTCCAAGTCCAGTTGATTTCCAAGGTTATTTCGGTTGCGGTTTACTAATTACTTGTTAATTTTGCAGAAGGATTTATTGTCCAGTTCTGACATGTACAGGTTTCAACAAAGATTAACGAAAGACGTGGTCATTTTCAACAGCTTTTCTCTCATTTTGTTATTTCTGATGGTTTATTCGATTGCATCTGGGTGTTTTGTTCAGGCGATTTATGTCCAACACAGTTTAGTAGCTGTGAAAACAAGAGCAAAAAAGGCCAGACTGCACTGTAGAGTTTTCCATACCATAGGAAGGACATATGGAGATGGAGAGGTGTGTGCTATTGGCAGATTGTTTAAATTGTTGGCAATGCTTCCTCCCTGCCTCCATCTTTTCATTTACTTTCAGTCAGATCTTGCACCATCAATAACTGTCTGTCCCAGTGAATGAGCTATAAGCAGGAGGGTTATTGATCCTCTGCTAGGTTGCACATCCATTTGCCTGTAAGTATGTGTACATACACACTGTAGGCACCATGTGACAATTTTTGTTGATATTTTGTTTTGTCTTTCCAAAAAATATATACAGTATATTTACAATTTGAATTCAGCCCATCATGCTGCAATAAAATGTTTATTTTACATAGCGTTAATTATTTTTTCATCAAACCCTCACTGAAATGAATGTAGCAGAGGATAAATGTTCAGAGGAAGCCACAGGTGCAGCACAGCACGTCACATAGAAGTCATTAGTCAGTTCCTGCATATCCAGGCTGAGACAGAATTCATCTGGGGTCTAGTATTTACTGAGGGTAAACCTACCTTTGATTCTATTGATTGTTACATGCTGCTTTCAGGCATAAATTTAGTTTGGTTTTATTTTGTTGTCATAATATTCAGAAGCAAAAGAGTAATGGTGGCAGGAGTACTTGTAAAAGTCACGCATCCAGAATAGAAACATTAGCATCAAAATACAATTAAAGTACTAGAAGTAAAGGTTTTCATAATGCAGAGAGTCCCATCTCAGAATAATATTGTATCACTGGATTACAATTGCAAGTATAATTCGTTCCGGCAACGTGCTCATAATCCAAAGCACTCGTATATCAAAGCAAATTTCCCCATAAGAAATAATGGATGATTCGTTCCACACCCACTTATCCATATAAAAATGATTACAGTAATACAAAATACAGTATAAAGTAAAAATAAATTAACCTGCACTTTACCTTTGAAAAGAATCGTGGCTGGCGTGAGGGGCCATTTTTGCAGTACAGATATTGACTATATGAGCGAAGCGTACATACTATTCGTATTGCGAGACCTCACTCGTATATCAAATCAAAATTTTTTGCTCATCTTGCAAAACATTCGCAAACCAGGTTACTCACAATCCAAGGTTCCACTGTACTAATGTGTAAATAGAGCTCTAATGTTGCAGATGGTAAAGGTGGCTAATTTTAACTACTATTATACCATTTGTTAGTTAAATTTTGTATCAATAATAAGATAAGATATATGACCTTTTGTTTGCTTTGGAGAGACTGACTTATATTGTTAAAGGAAAATATAATTACAGCTGTAAAATAAATCAAATTGAGTAAAAAGATGCATAAAAATTAAAACTGAGCTCTGTTGAATTTGAAACATGATACCACAGTATTTTATGCATAAGAGGAATCCTTCTCATTGGCCTGAAAATGTTACTGAGGTGTGTTTGTTGTGGTTACTGGTTGATTGTTCTCCAGCGTTCATATCCACCATCAGTTGTGCATTCATTGTTTTGATCAGGACATTTTCTGTTGGATGAAGGCCTCAAAAAAGACAAATTCACTCAGCAGACCTGCAGCTATAAAGGTAGGCTCTGACAGTGTGGAGGTATTTGTGCTGAAGGGCAAAGCCTGTGGGAAGATAACAGATCATGACTCTATTTCATGTCATTTTTTGAATTTGTGCTACCTGGCAACCACAGTCGTTGACAGCGTACATTGTATATGCAAGGCTCATACTTGAGGGACTGTAGGGTTATTGACTAAAAGCTCTTCTGTTATAGAGTGGATATTGTATGCAGTGATGTAACACCCTTTATATTCAAGAGATGAACAAGCCACATACGAGCACAGTGTGCATTAAGAGGCCATAGCTACAATGTTAGAGCTCTAAAATCCATAAACATAAATCTTAATAGACTAATTCAGGATTAGTGTGTATTTTTTCCATTCAGTATTGTGTGTTTATTCATTGTTGCGAAGTGTGTCCTTGATGAGGTTGTTTATGCTAGTACCAGGTGTTCTATCTAGGCTCAAGAACATCTAGTTCTTGTTTTGACTACATGTTTCACTAGATGGTTGGTACACACATTTCTGATAAGCAATTACATCATGACCGTGATACTTTGTATCACACACACACATTACAATTGGGCAGAAACCAGATACACAGAACACACATCTTCTGCAACACATAAACTGACAGAGGTGAGAAAAAAGTAGGCAGCAAAATCATGCAGACAGAAGCAGGTCTATGTATGGTAACAAGTGGACAAATGACGATGGCAGGGTGTGGGCATTAATTGTATAAAAGAATTGTAACTGTGCAATTTTCCTCAGTTGTCTTAGTGAACCAGCGGCAGATATTTTTGCATATTATAAAATGATCTGAAATATAAAACCCTTCTCACTGAGCAAAGCTTTTTCCACAACAGTTTATAAGCTGTTCTTATTAAATTAGAAAAAGTCATGAATTATCAAACTGATAAAAAAGTTAAGTCTGACTTTTGAGTGGTCAACGAGGGCCTGTAATCTCCAGGACCCCAGACAGAACACTGGGGTGATAAATCAACTATTTCTGAGATGATTTCTAGCTCACTGTGTAAATTTTGTTACTGAAAAGAATATGTCCTCTACAGCTTCAGAAGGATGAATATAGCCTCCCATCCCATGATGCCCTGGCACAGATCCTACCAGATACCTGGCACACTGTGACTGGAGCAGAAACTGAGCTCCAAAATGCAGGAACAACAGCAAAGAGATCAGAGGCTACACAGGCTAACAAACCCAACATAAACCAGACATATCAAATAAGTCATCCAAACAAAAGGTAAAGTGGACTAAATGTGGAAAAACATATTGTGACGACTACTAAATGCATGCATATATAACACCAAAGAGCTTTATGCACAAAGTCCACAGTTGAATCAATTGTTTTAAATATGTTCATGTTTCAGACCCCCTCTGCATGACTTTGAGGATGATCCCCATGTGACAGAGATCACTGATCTGCAAACTAAGGTGACTGGACACAATCAATACATAAACTCTTCAATCCTTCGAGGCGGTCCCCACTGTCAGGTTTAGTTAGTGAACACTGGCATGAGAAGCATGGTGAGATGGGACATTACACTGATGCAGAAACTCACAGCTGGGAGACAAAATGACAGCTAGAAGAATTAATTAACATTTCTCAGACTGATTGAACTCAAGGAGGACTGAGTTGATATGGTTTAAAACCTCTGCAGAGGTCTGAGGATGCATATCTTGACATTTTCTCTCTTTCTTTTTAATTTCCTTAATTAAATCCACTGCTTAGATCTGTGGACTGACTGAAATTATACATGGTTAGACATGCAGATTTTTTGTTGATTCAAGCAGATTTTGACATTATATGATAGAAAGGGACAGAACTGTGCACACATCAGTACATAATGGTAATTATAACAACTTAAAATACCAAATTAAATATCACATGGTCATACTTCAATCCAGCTGTAATACATTTGTCCTGGAGTGACAGTAAGGCCATTTTAATGTTTTAAAATCATAGAGAGGGGAGGGGACTTCCACTGTTCACCGGCAGACACTGAGACTCCCATTTTTATTTTTGACACACAAAGAGACTTTCCAGACTCATCATGGGAAGCTGTCCTTGAGACACCATCTCATCTACAGTCATGATTGTCACCTCGTTGCTGCCCTTTCAATTAGATGCTCAATTTCACCCTTGTGTCCCATGGGAGTCACAACCATGCTATTCAAGATTGAACCCCCCACCCCACCCCCTCATCCCAGTACATGCAGCTGTACCCTGCTCTCAGCACCCATTCAATTCTATCTATTCAGACTGAAAGAGAAGCATGTGGCAGAGCAGAGAACAATGCTGCTAGACAACATATACATGCCTTACACAGGCTAATGTCTTGATAACACACCCCTGTAATGATAACAATTCATGGAAAGCAGTTCTGATTGCTTTCCAGGAAGCTATAATCCCTGTCCCTATAGTCCCAGTGCAAGACAGAAAATATAAAGAATTACTTTTGAAGATTTGTGTAAAATTCAGCTTGTTTTGCTCATGATTACTTTTGAAGATTTGTGTAAAATTCATCTTGTTTTGCTCATGAATTTTGCTGGAATTTTGCCTCAACAATTCGGCCAAGGTGCTTACACAGTAGGGTGCTCCATGAATACACCACTTGGATTTATTTTTACTGGTTAAACCTTCCACAACATAAAGACCTTCTGTTGTCCCTCTGAATACAAAGAGCTGGAGTCATGAATACAATGCAACCCAACCTTAGGCAATCGATTACAGGAACACTTTGGCATAATTCTCTTTTTTGGCTCAGTTCCATGTGTGCTTATCCAAAACCAGGAGAAATTATTTATTCATTGAGGCAGTGATCCTGTGTTTGCTACTAGGATGTTTTTAAATTCTCTTACAGAAAACTCACCTTCAGAAATGTCCTGTTGACTATACCCTGTAAGACTCTTAAGAGATGGGGCTGAAGAGACATCTAGTGGTGGGGATCACGTAGGACCACCTGGCATCAAATCATCCCACCAGGCTACGGGCAATATTGTTGGCAGCAGTGTGACAAAGAAAGACAGAAACAAAAAAGAAAGAAATGACTATTTTGGCTATGACCTTGAAGTATTTGGAGAATTAGCACTAAAATGAACACCACAGTGAATTAGCCTGGGGATTGTATTAAATTATTCTTGTTAAACAACTATAACAAAAATCCCACTTCGGGCACCTAGTATAAGGCTAACAGCCAACATCTCTCCATCAGGAGGTTGAAAGCTATCGTTCAGCCATGAGTAAGATGGCCGATGACATCATAGCACTGAGGACACAGATAGTGACTCTGGAGGCAGAAAACAGCCAGCTCCGCAGTGATCTGTCTCTGCACCGGAACCTTGGCCAAGATCTGCTGGATGACACAGACATTGACGTTATGACCAAGGCTGAGATTTCTGACCATATCGGTACAGTAAGCCACATCAGAGCACAGCGGTCAGTTATTCAACCATAGAGCATAATCTATCCATTAGCATTAGCCTTGACCAAAATGATGCAAAAGCAATGACTGACATTCTTTTTGCTAAGTTGAGATCAAATGTAGGTTCACTACCTAGCCAGCAGTTGTGGAATCATCAGTCCACGATGTTATGGATTTAATAGCATTTCACTGGCAGATGAGCTGTGAAAGGTGGCTCACTGTGTGTTTGCTAATCCTTGTAAATGTTTATTCTCAAGCACACAGTGCCGTTTTGCGATAAGGCTGCTCATTTAGGCCATGGACGCAGATAAACTGTGTGAGTAGTACATCCTTTATCTCCAAGGGCTGTTTGTGACCCTCAGTGAAAGGATGTTCCTGAAGGTCTCACTGCTGGTATCCAAGCAAAAGGACTAGATTTAAGTCACATCCAACAGAAAATCCAAAGGATTAATTGATGGATGTTTTGATCATTATTGTTCAAATGTCCAAGCCTCAGGAATGACATGCTTATCATTCTAAATTTGAAATAGAATTTCAAACTTTACATGTCTAACTGTAATCTTTATTTTCCTAAGTTAACACACAAATCTAAAAATTGTAATCTGCACAAATATCAGGCATAAGTGCATCTTCGCCCACATTTATGCTTCTATGTGAGATTTCTTCTGCTGTTCTTTTGAAGTGTCTCTGAAATTCAAGTTGGCCAGTGAGACCAGTAAGGCTGCCTCCCAAAGGGACAGGATCCAACAGCTACAGAATGAACTGATCAAGGTTAGAAAATACACCAAACATGCATTAAACAAATGAAATTTAAATGTCATGTCAGTGACTATGCTGATTACTAGTCTATCTTCACTGTGTGTGTGTGTTGTGCAGAAGAATGACAGTGAGAAGGAGCTACTAAAACTTAACAGATTCCTCAAGCAGCAGCAGCATCTACAGCACCAGCAGAGTCTCATGGCAAAGACAGCAACTTTGGAGGTCACAATGAAACAGCAGGAAAAGGTGAATATCTGACAGTACTGTCTGCTCTGTACTTACTGGTACACTTATCTGATTTCACAGCAAGGATGCTTCTTTCTGTAAATGACCAGTAGGATAGTATCCTTCGTACTTCTCTGTCTCACTGTCAGGTCATTGCGAAGATGGAGAAAGCTTTAGATAGCAAACTCAGAGAGAAAGATAGACAAAGTGGCAACAAGAGACTAGTGTGGAGAAAGTACAGAGGTGAGTAGATTGAATGAGACAGTATATCACATAAGCATTTGTGATCAGGACATGGAACCTCTCTCCATGCTGAGTAGGTGAGAATGACCCCAAAAAGGAAGAGTTCAAGTCGGCCCTGGCAGCAGAAAACGCCCGTCTCAGAGAAGAGCTGGACAGGATTCACCAGCAGCCCACCCCCATTATCATACAGCAGTCAGCACAGGTACTCCTACACTTTGAAGCCAGCATTCAAACAGGATGGTATGAAAGTGTAACAGTTTAATCCTATTAAGGTGTAAACGATCAACTACAGCGCAGGGTCAGAATCCCATGTGTCTGTGTTATCAAACTGTATCATATTTTTATGGTACCTGAATTTTATCTTGCTGTTACTGAAATCTGAACCTGATGTGTGCCATTTCTCTCTCAGACAAAAGAGGCATTACCACTCAGTGAAACACTGAGTTTACTAAATAAGCTGGAGATGGCTGAGACAAGAGTCCAAACACTGGAGACTCAGGTTAAAAAAAAACAACTCATAGACTTGTTAAGGCCACTAGTTACTTTGATTATTGATTACATGCTTTGACTTTGTTTGCAACAATTACAGCTAGAGGACAATTCTAAATTATGGGGCAGACAGAAACAGGAAATGCTGAACAAACTGAGCGAGCACAGGCATGGCTTTGTCCGAACAGCCACCACAATCCTTCATAATGTTTCTTCGGTCAGTTGAATGCCTTTGTGAAGCATGTAATTCTTATATAAAGTATTTACAGTAACCTTCTATAATTTCTGCATTGCTTTCTACTTATTACAGATGACTGTGTCATAATTTTATCAACAAAGCAGACAGAGGAAGAAAAAACCTGAAAAACGACCTGCTACTGCACTAAATAATGTGACTGAATATTAAAACATGTAATAAAATTACATCTTACAAGACATGTCAGTTATACTGTTTTATTCATCACTGGTTTGTAAAGATTAATACCTTTGCACACATGGAATAAAGGTTTTTTTACCTTTGTCAATATATTGTACATATAAAAACTACACATTACTAGACACTAAAAAAGCAGTATATGTAATTACTTTGTTCACTATGACAATTAACTGTGATAAAGCGCTACAGCAATCAGCAATGAACCTGACTTTTGAACATGCTGTTACAGTCTAGATTGTAGAGGTTTCAGGGTGAATATTATAGGCTTATCTGGTAAGAGAATAAGCTGAAAGGTACTCTGAACCTCCACATGGCGTTGTTTCTCCACTCTGAAGTTCTCAAGCATCTGCAAAGGCCAGTGATAATGCGAACAGTTAATATGTGTAAATGTGCCACAAAATATGGTGATACTGCTCCGAATTCTCTGTATATCTCACATGAATGAGGAAGATTTGCATCTCCGTCTCAGCTATTCTGCGTCCTACACACTGACGGGGGCCAAAGCCAAAGCCCAAGCTTCTGAAGTATTGTGTTTCTGTCCTCAGCCAGCGAGAGGGTCGATACTGCTCTGGACGAGAAAACACCTTGGGGTCTCTTCCCATTGCATACAGTCCTAACTGCACCAAAGTCTAAATACAACACAAAAATAAAAGTCATCTAAAGGTGAGCAGTGACCCTAACTCTGCATTAAACTCAGAAGCACCTGCATAGTGTCTTCTCAAACAAACCAACATGATTACATGGTTTATATTTACAGTAACTGCCTCTTACCCCAGCTGGGATGTGGTAGTTTTGAATAATGACATCTTCTCCTATGTATCTTTGCAGGTTCACTGCAACTGGGTGTAACCTTAGATGTTAAAAGTGAAAATTCTCTATTAAAGGAGACTTAATAACCTTGTTAGACAGTAGTATTTAGTAGATAGTTGAGATTTACATAAGGTCCTTATCAGAAAAACCGCAGTACAACGTGTGTTAGTGAAAAACAACATTACAGATGTGAAAGAGGCAAAGGATGAAGCAATCTCCAAAGCAGTCATGGAATCTGCGAGGAACTATGCCTAATGCCTTTCAGTGCAATATATTAATGAGAGATGGGGGTTATATTTTGCATTAGTTCTAAAGCAAGGAGCATTATGTGCTGTAGAATGTTGTGCTATTTTCTTTCACCTCAGTGTTTCCTTCAGAGCTCCTTTAACCAAGGGAATCCGCTTCAGCATCTCCTGCATGTCTCCCTGGCTTTCAGCCCGAGCTGCAGCCACCTCTGCCCTCAGCTCCTCCTGCAGGTTGGGGTGCTTGGCCAGTTCATACAATGTCCACATCAGTGTTACAGAAGTCTGAAACACATAAACAGAACTATGCAGTCTTGAAAAGCTGAAGTCAAATTCTGAAAAGAAATGGTTTTTATGTATGTCTTTTCTTACAGTGTCTACTCCCCCAGCCATTAGTTCAGTGACGCTTGCTTTGATGTCTTCAATGGACAGCTTGTCAAGCATAAGCAGACTAGCCAGGACTCCTGGGTATTTCTTTGGTGTGCCAGTCTCCTGACGCAAGTCCCTGTAGATCTTCTGGATGCAGCGGTCCGCTAAAGCAACAAAAGGATATAGGTAAAACAAGAAACTGCACCATATACAGTTCAAACATAAAAACAGAAAACATGGTTTTCAAATGATAAGAATGTAAAGCTATAATTATTCTGCTGGGGAACATTATGACTTCAAAGTTATGTAAATGCTTATCCTGCTTTTCCTCTGAGTGGTACCATGGTTAAAAATCCCATCCCAAGCCTCCACATGGTCACGCCACACCTTTGCTCCAATCTTCCTCAACAGACTAGGAGGTATGTATAGCATGGGTGATGTAGTCTTGAACATGATGGTAATGCAGTCAATGAAATGTTGAACTTCAGGGTCAATGTAGTCCAGCATCAAACCCAGACGCTCCCCATACAGCACTGAGCTGACTGCTGTGAAGGATGCAGTAAATGTGAGACAAACAAAAGCATATGTGAATGGTCTTATATTTGTATAGTACCTTTCTATGCTTTACAGCACACTCAAAGCACTTTCACACTATTTGGCCATTCACACTCCCAAACACTCACACACCGGTGACATCACCGGGAGCAAATGGGGGTACAGTGTCTTGCTCAAGGACACTTCGACATGTTGACTGGACAAGCTGGGAATCGAACCGCTAATCCGCTGGTTAGGAAACAACCCACTCTACCTCCTGAGCCAGTCGGCCCCATATGTGAGGAGAGGGGGGGGAGTGCACCAGCCTTCACAGTTAACAAAATAAATTATACTTCAATATGAGAGGGATAATCGGCAGTCTTACATTCTAGTGCATATTTAAAGAGCTCTTGGGAGAGGTCAGTGGTCCATCTGTTTTGTCCACTTCGGTTGATCTTTTTGTTCACTCTGTCCACAAAATCCAGGCCCACTTCATCCAGCAAAGGCACAAAGTTTTCCAGCACCTTCAGGGAAATCACCTCCTTGTTAAGAATCACTCGGTTTGATCTCCAATCTTCTCCATTCCTGTGAGAAGACTGGATGTTAACTAGCCAGGCAACTAGACAGTTTTATAGCACTTAATAAAACTCTTGGTTCCATCAAAGCATCAAAATAGTGGTAAAACTGAAAGCAGGATAATAATACCACATACTTCAGTAAAACTCCATATTTGCAATTCCTGTAGTCTCTGTATGATGTCCATGGTTCAACTTTCAGCCTTTTAGGATAATGGCCCTCTGCTTTGAACAGGGTTGCAGCATCCTCAGGATTGATGATATTTACACTTTCATAATAACCTATTTTCTCTCTGACATACACAAAGCAAGAGAAAAGGGGTGGAATGCCATATTACTTGCTTGTTTTCTGAACCCTTGAACATAGTCATTTTTGTCTACGTATATTACAATAAACACTAGACAGTATCGTAGACAGTTTTTTTTTTTTTTATCTGCCTTCCATCACTGTAAATGGGTCCAAAAGTATTGAAGTTGTTCAACATGATGCGGTGAAGATTTTTGAAGCCATCCAATTTCCAGAAATTGTACAAGTTTGCCACCCCATTCTTCCACAGCCCAGGAATCTCACTGAAAGGCTTGACAATGCTGCTGCTATCTGAGTAAGTCTGTCTGACCACCGGCGTACTACTGCAGCGGACACCTGGTGTTGTCAGTTCTCCTGTCCAGAACTGGGGCAACATCACAGGCCTGGACCACACACTCCACCTGGCCATCCCAGCAACAAAAATGCTCACTCGGCTCTACCTTCCGCTACTACTCTGTCTCTCCCAGGGATATCTGGTGCAAAAAGAAGAGGCGGGTCTAAACAGTCAGCCCCCTTGCTGTGCTGATTATGGCTCTGTAGTTGATATTTACAACCTAGCAGAAAACAGTGCATTAATACATCTATATAACACTGCTGAGCGGCATTACTGTTTTATTTTAAACCCAAGCCACCCCTTTTTCTTTCAGGAGGGTAGAGGGTGGAGCTGAGGCCTGTCTGAGATGGAGCATAGCTGAGCATATTGAACTCAGAACACCATAAGATCACTAAGCTTCTCCCATGTCTCACAGCTGAGCATATTGAACTCAGAACACCACAAGATCACTAAGCTTCTCCCATGTCTTGTTGTTGTCTGCTGTTTTGTTTGTTCTTGTTTTACATCCATGCACTCGCACGTATTGTTCATCCAAACATGGCATACATAACTGACCTTTTCATAGACTGATCATTTATTATTACAATAATTCAAAAGGAAGTTCAATAATTCAAAGAGCAGGTAACAGAAAGACCTTCTCTGCAGAGAAGTAAATAAAAGTACTGAATAAGAGAATTGTCAAAGAGTCGGTCAGTCATTTAGTCAAACAGTCAGCAAGTCAGTCTGTCACGTAGTTGGTCAGTCCTCTCCTGTCTTCCCTCTTCGCTGGCTCCTCTACCGTCTATCTTCTGTGTCCTCTCTCTGATTCACTAGGTTTTTATTCGGTGACAGTGTCCAACCCCCCTTCTGTCATCCCTTGATTTTCACGTCAACTCCCAAACCTAGTTAACAAGTCATCTCCAGATCAGGATGGCGCAGTGGGTCACTGGGGCTACTGTGGTTCAGTGGGGAGGGCAGTTGTCTCCCAACTGGAAGGTTGGAAGTTCGAATCATGTGCCTGCAGTCCACATGTCAAAGTGGGCAAGACACTGAACCCCGAAGTTGCCCCCGATGGTTAGAGCCATCGGCGTGAGTTGCCACCGCAAATTGCTGCCTCGGTTCTGTACCAGAAACAAATTCCTTATGTGTAACATACTCAGCCAAATAAAGGTGATCCTTGAGGCCATGCACTCGCTTGAGTACACACAAATATTGAACCGATTTACACAGTTAGCTGACAGAGTACAGACGGCTTGCAGAGATTATTGATTGCATATTGGGAATCGTAGACTAGATAATGAACTTCAATTGAAAATTGGGGGAGCTAATATAGAACGAGTATATGAAATTAAATTTCTAGGTGTCATAGTTGATGACAAATTCTCCTGGAAATCTCATATCAGATATGTTCAGAACAAAATAGCAAAAAATATATCGATATTGGCAAGGGTTAGATATATTTTGGACGGGAAAGCACTACGCATTTTGTGTTCTTCATTGATTTTACCATACTTAGAGTATGGCGTTGAAAACTGGGGAAATACATACAA